CCCAGCACATGGATGGAGTGAGCCCTGACAGGCTCTGATCACTCCTCCCAGGCTGGGAGTAGGTAATTTTCCAGCACAAATACTCACTCATAAGGAAACCATCTTGCAAGAATGGGCTGTGGAAACCAGGAGGGCTGCATCCAAAGTACCCCTGCATGGCCTGCCATGCGGCCACATACAGCCAGTGCCTCGGCAGGAAAAGCCACCAGTACCCGTTTCCTCCCCAAAATGAGCAGCCTTTTGCATCTCACAAAAAAAGAAATCCAAATGTCATCATAGCAGCAGCATCTCTTGTTCCTTGCCACAACAGGGAGCATGGAAGGAGCTTGGATTGATGGCACCTACGGGAATAAACCTTGGAGAAAACTGGGTGGTGAGAGGAAGGTCACCAAAGGCTTGAGCTGTAGGAATGACACCTCAGCACTGAGGCCTCTGAAACACGGAAGGGTTTACTGGGACATTTGCAGATATTTCAAATAGGATGAACATTGTAAATCACAGGGGCTCAGAGAGGCTTTCAAAAACATGGTGTGAGGCAGAAAACACGGGGGTGCTGCTCCATGCCCATGCAGGGCACGACCACACGAATGTGGCAGCTCCTTCCCTCTGGAAGCAACAACTCTTCTGTAACATGTACAAAGGAGTTACCAACAAACAGCTTTTCCACCTGGGAAGAGAAGTAATGTTCAAGCCTGAAATTTGAGGAAAGCACTCAAAAAAATCCTGCCAAGAGGATAAATCAGTGGCAAAGCCAAGCAGAAGCTATTAAAGAGTTACCGACCTGGGTAAATCAATGGACACACTATACTGATCCTGACTGTCATCCAGTGCCTGCTTATGGTGTGGATTGCTGGAAACCTGCACAGAGGTCCAGCCCACCTGGCTCACCTGGCAGCACACAGTGGCAGTGGAAGCAGCAAGTGGGCAGGGTGCAGGAAAAATCCAGGCTTCCCCAAAGGCTCAGAATGCAAACTCCCTCTCCCCTTAGAAATAATGAAGGGAGAGCAGAAAGGCAAAACTGCATGTTACGCAGCACAAACAGCCAGACAGGGGAGCTGTTGGACACACACAAACTTGCAGAGCCATCTTTATATATCTTTATTGCACACATCTATCCTTACATATCTCATGGGATGAGGCCAACTTCCCTTCCCAGGACAAACTATTTCTATTTAATTCTGCCAAATCCATCTGTTCCCAAGACAACTTTTGTTACTGCCTAACACAGACATTTTGGAAGGGGAAATCTTACCCTCATCCTCCCACCCTCCCCCCCAGTTGCTGGATTGCTCAGAACATTCTTCAGGTGGTGCTCTGACCACTAAAATGGACTTTTTCCTTCCATCTGTGAGATGCCCAGAGGAACAGCATCCCCACACAGGTGAGCTGCACTACACCACCTTTGCAAACCCCCTGAAATTGTGCATGTCCTCTAACCCAGTGCCCACTCAAGCCACCCACCTGGCAAAGGAGCCTCTCCAGCACCCACGTTTTATTTTCAGGCTTCCTGGCAACAAGCTCATCAGTGGCATCACAAGTAAGAACATCAAAAGTGATAAAATTAGTGGGTGGCTGTCTGGAGCAGCAGTGAAGCACCAGCCACCCCAGGCTGTTTGCTCTGGGTGCCCAATGCAGGACAACTGATCCTGGTGGAGGGTGAGCACATGTTTGCCTTGTAGAGCCTGGAAGACATTTGCACCGAGTCATAGTTTTGGGGAAAATACTGTAATTTATTCGTGGGCATGATTTGCTATTGGTGTGGCATAAATAGATGTGTATGTACACAGCTCTATTTATAGAGCTCATGGCCAGGGTGTCGGCTCCACGGTTACTCCACTGACAAACAGGATGTGCTCTTCTCTGAGCTGGGAGGTTTTCAGTCCTCCCCCTTATTGTAAACATTATCTGCCTTCAAAATGCTTAATGTGTTACAGATGTGACAAACAATAAAAGACCTATCATAAAAAAAAGCCTGCCATCTCCATGTTTCCCACTGGGGCAACATAATAATGAATTTATTAGCATATAGGGCTCACCAACATATGTTTATAGTCACTCACAAACTTTTGACTTGACAGTTTACAAGTATGTTTAAATCATTAAAGTTTAAGTTGACTGTCCAGTTATTACAGGCTCATTATAAATAGGAAACAAAGGTTACATTTTATACAACAGGTGATAAATCAAAACTAGTCTGTATTTTAGACTGCCTTTTTTTTTTTTTTCCTCTTGCTCTTTTTTCATCTCCACATTTTCAAGGCCTTCTAGAGGGACATCTTGGTGAGGCCAGTACCGAGCAGCTGTTTGCAGTTAGCTGACAGGACCAGCGGCACCCACAGTGGGGAGCAGGAGAAACTCCCTCTGTGTCCAAGGGCTGTAAAGACCTCGGAGGTGGCAAACTCTGCCAAGGTTTTCACTCAGCCGACAGCCAGCCCCAGTGCAAGCCTGAGGCACCCACCTCTCCTCCCCCCGAGACATTGCTAAGTCCATCTGGAAGGCTTTGGAAACCCTCTGTAAGGGAGGAGATCTGCCATCACAGGGCTAAGGAAATTTCCTCCTAAGCTGAACAAAGCCTCTAAGAACAGGAAAGCCAGGCACCCAAACAGTGTTTCTTGACTGCACATCTCTGAGGGCCAGGAGAGGCACTGAAACACTCTTGAAGAGGGTTTTTGGGTTTGACACAGAACATGCCCAGCCATCCAGCCATGTTCCTGCCTTAACACTGCAGAGCATCCAGCACGGGATAAAACCAGGGAGTCAGTAACTGAACGCCTGCTGCTCCCTGTTCTTTCTGCCTCTATTACAGGGTAACCACCTTGGGAAGGAGAGAGATAAAGCCACACTAAATGTAAAAGTTCATTTTGTAAACTATTTCCAGATTTCAAAGCCTGGCATCATTTCAAATCAGCATGCTAACCTAAAATTTAGAATTTGTGGAAAGGCAGGGAGAATGTGGAATGGTTTCTGGTCCCTTTTATTTTGCATGCTATGTGCGTGTGATATGATGGAAAAAAAAAATTAATTGAAAAATACCCTTTCAAAGTAAAGAGAAATATCATTCTCCAAAATGTTGAAAGTGAGTATTTCCACACCATCAGCAACTTTCCTGGGCTTGTTTCCAACATAAAACTTGAGCAGAGTCAGAGTCTATATCTAATACCAACCAAATAGGATTCTGTCACTCTCAGATCAGCTTCGCCTTTCTGCTCTACAGCAAAATGTAAAAAAAGAGTATTATAGCATGGGGAAGTGAGGAAGCATCAGAAAGTCTCCCTGGCCACCCCGACAGCATAGCTCATGTCCTCCAAAGCCACCCAGTGCCTAGAAGCTGTGTTGGACAAACCTCACGCTCTCAGCAACCTGGAAGACTTAATCTGCCAAGGAACACAATGCCCCTGAGCCACTGCTGCTTTAGAGTTAATATTTACCCAACCTGTAGCAAAGGCAGCAGCAAACACCCTCCAGCAGAGCAGCACAAGGAGGACAAGTCCTTCCTTCCTATAACATGTTCATGTACCACAGCTGCAAGAGAGGTCTAAATTGCTAGATAGGCAGGCTGTTGGGGAGAGCAATACAGTGGTTAAACTAGCCTAGAGAGACAGAAAAAGGCAGAAAGGTTTATCTACCTGGCTTCAGAGATCACTGATGATATTATGGGAAAAGGCTATAAGAGGAAATTAGAATCACATTAAAAATAGTATAAAAGTGTGACACAAAGATCACAGAAAATGAAACACGTATCTCTGCTCTCGACTCAGGATGATGTGAATCACCTGTATTTTTTTAATGTACACTTTGATAGTTAGTTCTTGGATGAAATAAAGTATATTTTCTCCTTCTCTGAATTCCATATTTCTCTATCAGACTTAGATCAGAGAACTTAAAAAGTGTTTTCTTTCCCTTACCGATATTTAAATATATGTATTTCATATATTTTACATAATATGTCAATAATCTTTGATATGAAACTGGCATTTAATATTTCAGCTCTCACTTCATTAAGGATCTTTTAATTATCCCAGACCAATGGAAGGGAATTTATAAACATCTGTGCTTCGTTTAAGAGCCCAAATTTGCCTCTTAAACTTCAAAGCTGTAAAGCTGATTTTATCCAGGTTCAGTTGTCTGGTCCCTCAAAGAGCACCGCATAACCCTGGAACCAGCATTAATTGGGCCAAGCCTCCAGCCTGCAGACCCACGTCCAGCAGACACCACTCATCCACAATGGACACAGTCCCCAACAGCCTGGGCTTGCTCACGCGGGCAAAACAGAGGATGCTGCTGAGCTCCACAGAGCCAGGGGTAGGATGGCAGCAGTTAGTGGGTCGGGGAGAAGGCACATGCCAATGCCATTTGCAACTGCCCGAGTTGCAGCCACTCCTTTGCTTTCTCCTCCCAATGGGTGACGAGGGACTACCTTATTAATGTAACCTCAAAGCACTAGGAGTGCCTCATAGCCATTTTAAAAGCAATCTAAGACATGACTTAGAGCATGAGTCACATCTTCAGGATCTTTAGTACCTAAATTACTTCTGCAAGACAAACCTGAGTTATTCGTAAAAAAAATGCCATAGGTCTATAAACCTTAGATCAGAAATAACTAATTTGCTGCAGTTGAACCATCCTTACTCACTTTCTGATACTCTCCAGAAAGCTCAAAATCTCATCTCTAAGCACACGACCATGGGCAGCAGTAGGAAGAAGAGAAGAGGGTGACTCTGGAACCCATGTCAGATTTGCAGCCTCTCCTGAAGCCCCTCCCATGGGTTGCCCTCAACACACCCGTGCCAAACCAACCTGGAAAAGCAGTGGCACTGTTTCTCCAGGTGCTGCCCCTGCTGGCACTGAAGCCAGCTGGCAGGATACTGAGCATCCTCTGAGCATCCATGGTACCTGCAGCAAGCAAACCTGAGCAGACCCCAGAGAGCAGCTCTCCACGCCATCACCAAGACCTACAACCCCCAGGGGTGCAGCTACTGCAGCACCACCATCCGCATCACCTGCTAAGAACCGGAGCTGGTTCCTCACTCGCAGCTCTCCGTCCCCAGAGCCTCCGCCACAGTCATCCTCATCGTCGCAGTCTCCACTCTCCTCCTCCTCCTCTGGGGTTTTGCCTGGAGCTTTTCGGTGGGGCAAAGCCATCCCTTTGAGCAGCTGAAAGACATGAGGTGCCACAGTCATTCAATAGCTTTCCTCTACTCTCCCTACTGCTCCATCCCACTCTTGCAGGGTATCTGGGGGCAGGGCTCAGTGGAGCCAGGACAGTGGGACATGACCCCATCATGCCCCTCGTGCCAAAGCACTGATGAGCTCAGGTTCATTCATGGACAAAGTGCAAGAAACAGAAAGAGGAGGAAAAGCCACACTGAGTAACTCCACCCTTTGGCTTCTGCTTGGTGAGCATCGTGCACGAGCACATCTACCAGCCCTGAGAGACCTCAATGTGACCCAAGTCTGGAGCTGACTACAAAACACATGTCCTGAGTTTGGCCCAACAGGGCAAAAACCAGTAGCAAGAGGCAACTCTGTTCAGGGAATCTCACTGCTTTCAGGCTCTCTCTCCCGTCTGGGAAGTAACAGACGTGAAAAGAAATGGCAGATCTCCCAAGTCCACTCAGTGCACCACAAATATATCCTAAAAGTCTCATTATAGAATCATAGAATCCTTTAGGTTGGAAAAGACCTTTAAAATCATCAAGTCCAACCATCAAGCCAACACTACTAAGTCCTCTGCCAAAACAGAATCAGAATCTGTCAGGCTTGGAGCAGACCACAAGGATCCCCCAGTTCCAACCCCTCTGCCATGAGCAGGGACACCTCCCCCTAGATCAGGCTGCCCAGAGCCTCATCCAGCCTGGCCTTAAAGACCCCCAGGGATGGGGCCTCAACCACCTCCCTGGGCAACCCTTTCCAGGGTCTCACCACTCTCATGGGGAAGAACTTCTTCCTCACATCCAGCCTGAATCTGCCCACTTCCAGCTTTGCCCCATTCCCCCTAGTCCTGTTGTTACTCGATATCCTAAAAAGTCCCTCCCCAGCTTTCTTGTAGGCCCCCCTAAGATACTGGAAGAGTTAAAGTACTTTGGATAACCAAGAGACACAATGAAAGGGTCTTTTAAAGGATACTTGAAGGCTGAGTCCTAACTAACAGTGACAGGTTGCACATCCCCAAGATGGGGACTTGAAGAGCTCCCCTGAGCACAGGGTCAGGGCCGCCCTCCAGACACGGCTGGGAGGCAGCTCCCCACACTGCCCCGTCACAGCACTCGGAGGGATTAGACACGTTCTAAGCTATCAACTTCCTCTTCCCGCTGACTTTTCTGATTCTGCTTTGCTGAAAGCAGCCAGCTATTTCATCAGAAACCCAGAGCCACTTTGAAAAAGTGTGAGTCAGGCAGTTAATATATGCTGAAAATTCCTATCGCTACCACTCTGCTATTAAAAGCCTTCTTGAATTTAATCTCTGCACTAGGAAAAAAAAAATATAATGAAAAGGATAAGTAACAGGGAAGATATTGCAAAATGGGAGCTTTCCGCATGCTTCAGGGGTTTAGTTAGTTCCATCTATTGCAGCAATATGCATGCTTTTCAAGGCATTTTTTAATATCTGGAATCTAGGTTATATTTTTAAACTGTTAAGCTAGCCTTAGAACACAGTTTCTAAAATATTTAGCCGCTGAAGTTTATACAGCCTTGGAGGAATGCTTTCAGCATCTGGCTCGCTCTGTCCACGGCAATGTCCACATACCTTAGTGTTTATATTAGAGGAGCATAACGTAATGAAAAACAAATGGCTCGACGTGAGGCGCCTTCGGGCACCCCGGCTGCATCAAACAACACGGCAAACCTCGCCCTGGCACGTGCAAAAGTCCACCCAGCATCACAGCTGGGCTGGGCCCTGCATCCACAGTGGGAAGCAACACGCAGCTCATCTTCCCAAAACTCAGAGGATGTGTTTCCATGGCCTTCAATAGGCTTTGGCTCAGATTGTTTAAGTTCACTGTTCAGAAATTTTCTTTTATTTTGACATTTACAGACCTATCCCAGAATACGGTGTGACCACAAAGAACAAACAAACTTAAAAAAAAAAAAGGGAGATGCAGCGCTGGGGCAGCGCAGGGAAGGCCTCACAACAGGAACCAAACACACCGACTGCTCAAGGCTTTACACCTTTACACTACCACTTGTGTTCCTCTCCTCCAAATGAAGCCCACAGCTAGCAGTAGTCCTCAGCACAGAGTGTATATCAGCTCAAGGTGGAATGAGGACGTCCCACACAGAGCAAACTACAACACGCACCACTTCAAACCCATTTTCCCAGTGAATCATTGCTAAAAATCCAAGCCCCCGACGGTGGAAGGGGACTGCAACTGCTCAGCAGCAGGATGCTCTGCGGGACGCTCACTCCTCTTCAGGCAAGGCATGGAGCAAGCCAGCTGGGACCCTACCACCCAGCTTAGTGACACAACTGTCATTACTTACCCAGAACAGCAGAGGAGCTTTCTAGTGGACAGAATTAAGCTTTGAGATACTTTCAGATTTAACAAGCTCTGCAGGTGGTAGGGGAAAAAAATCAGGATTTTTCAGTTGTGTGTTTTCAAACACTAAAACGACTATGCATTTCTTGTATTACTACTTTTTTCTTGGCATGCCATAAATTATCAGCTTAATTTCTCTGCCTTTGTAGCCACAATAAACCAGGAACTTTCTGAGAAACACTATGTGGGCTCCGGCTTTAGATGGAGTGAAGATGACATCCCTGTGCTACTCTGCTCCTTCCTTCTCCAGGAGAAAAGCTCCATCCTCAGCCACATGCTCCCCAACTGCTGAGAACCACACGGAGGTTCAATGAGTCAAATTTTGCAGCTGGCTCTGGCAGAAATGAAACCTGTGACACAAAACCTAGTGGTAACACTAGCAGAAGACTTGGTGTGGAGTGGAAATTCCACCCTGCTGCGTTGGTGCATCGAGCCCTGGGGACATCATCAGATGCCTCGGCTTTGGCTGGAGCAGCAGCCACAGTCCTGCTCATTGACCATTACACAACCTCTCTGATGATCTCCATGGGTTATGAAATTGTACTTGGTAGACTGAACATAGATTCCCCATCCTTAAATAGCTAACGGAGCTGACTGCACCCTAACATTACAGTTTATTCATGTCCTGTGGCTTACAACCTATAGTAAGAAGCAGCAAAATACATTGCCCAGAAATCACTAAAGTAGCATGTAACAGTCGAAAGCTTTAACTTAATCACAATTCACCCAGCTGTAAGAGTATCTACTCTTCTTTGCTAAACCATAAAGGCAAAAATACACTATAATGTACCCGAGGTAAACCAGAGCACTAGTTGTGGGAGCCTATGCACACACAGGCATCTCCGAGGTGTCTGCCGGCATTCATCTCCTGTCTGCACAACCACTACAGAATCATAGAAACATTTAGCTTGGAAAAGACCACCATGGCAGAGCCTGTGCTCCTGACTATGAGCTCAGACATGTACCAATTTTATTTCCCATCTTATCAGTTTTATTTCCCTCTTAAGTCATGGCCATCTGGATGGGTAGGGCAGGCAGTGCCATGGTACCCCCACTGCGGCATCAGCACAAGGGACACCAGGCAGCCCCGGCTGGTCTCCATATACATCTTTATTGCTTGGCTTGTCCCATGGTCTCCCTACAGCTTAAAAACCTAGGCTGATGGGAACGGGTGCCAAGCCTTCCTGCAAGGAAAGCTCCCCAGGGCATCCCAGTGCGATTTACACAACTATTCATAACTGTAGAGTGACCAGACAAAAACAGATGCAGCAATGTGGAGTAATGACTCAGCTGGATTTGGATGGGCCACCGTATGTTGAAATATTTATAACACCTCATTCTTTACAACCACTTTACTCAGAGCTCCCCATCCCACCGAGCCACCTGGTCTTGTTTTTCCAATTTTAACATAAACAGTGAGAACTACAACATACTTTTTATCATTAATCTCCCGTCTCTGAAAAAAAATCACCATTGTGTTTCTTGGACTGTAGTTTAATAGCTGTTTTCTCCTTTTGGAAACTACACTCACGGTATGGCAAATAACAATTTAAGCAATACCCAGAACTGTGCCCACAAATTCAGATAAAATATCGGCACTGAGCTACAAGCACTGTGCTCCTTTAGGGCAGAAATCATCCCTTTCAACTTCAGAAACATATAAAGTAAAGAGAACAGCCAAACAGATTATTAAGGGGAATAGAAGACCTTTAGAAAAACATTTAATTCCTCCATGAGTTTAGGGGAGAAGTCTGATTGATATTTGTAATCTTTTGGTGGACAGAGCTGTCATTTAATTTAGCTTGCATGACTGAAAGAATTTAATAAAAGTGTTCCATAGAGTTTTGCTGAAATTCTTTGCATGTTTTTAGTAAGCCTCTGGAATACGATCAAACCTAAAAAGCTGGAGAGGATGGAGACTGGACTTGCAGCTAAAATAATATTCAGAATTGTAATATACACTTAATAATCAAGTATTAACATCCAGCAGAAAAAAGTGCCTTAGTGCAGAAACTCCTCTGGATCCCCAGCCGCGTGTCCATGTGCTGCTTGGCAACATGAAGAGGACCCTGGGAACTCAACCCAGCAGTGAAAACTGGCCACTGGTTCTGCTAGAAAACTCTTGAAACTCAACCAAACCCACCAACTCATGACTCTTCACAAAACCTGGGTTGCCTTTCTTCAGGGGTCCCAGTAAGAAAGAGTTTTGAGGGGACAAAGGTGTTACCTCCTCTTGCTTCGTGCAAGCCACTGGCTCTGGGCACACACTTTGAA